GCAAAGTCCTAATGTCACCGATTCTCTGAGACCATTCAACCAGACATCAGGTATTGTTGGAAGCTTTCGTGGCATATTTCCCAATCTAGGACACTTGTGGAGTTGTGCCATGGTTGTTGGTCCACATGTTCACATCGCATTAACCCATGACTCAGGAAACTAGACATGACACTGGGTTCTGAGCTTTGGTCTACAAGGGCATGAACTCCTAGATGACACTGGGTTCTGCAGAGCTGAGCTTTGGTCTACAAGGGCATGAACTCCTACCTACTTCCATGAGTACTGTTTTAAGTCATCTAATGTGGAATGCACATGAGCAAACACGCAAAGAAGAAAAGACAGCTAGCTATTTGTTCCATATTGGGTGTTCTTCAAGGTGTATTGATCACGTTCATTTCATGACTTACCCTCCTTCCTCACTTTTGGAGTTTCCAGCAAGAAGAAACTGAGTGTGTGGGAAGGAGAAGGGAGTGCAATGCCCCTTAGACTATGCCCTGAAGGAACCAGAGCCACTCCCCTACGTATACTGCTAAGGGAAAAACTTCAGCACTGGTGCATGCGGTGCGAGCACATACCTAATATAGAATGGACATGAGTGACATATCTTAAAGAATGCCAGTTAAGGAACAGGTAACTGTCTTAAACTCTCTACACTTTGTTGGTGTTAATTATCCTGATACTATTCCAGGACAGCCAAAGAGTACTTACATCACAACAGATTCCAGACTATGCTCAGCCTCATCATTCAGCTTCATGCGACTGTGCAAATTGCAGTAAGATCTTGTCTCATCTAATGGATTATATGGCCTCTTGTGCTTTCATGACACCGCATGCAAAACTGCATCCGCTTTGCATGGAAGCATCTGGACCTCTACAGATGTCTAGATAGATGTAAGAATAGTGCTGGGGAGGAGCCAGTGGTCGTGGTAGATGTAGATACCAATAACATAGGTAGGTCCTGGTGGCCAAATTTTGGCAGCTAGGAAGGATATTGAAGTCCAGGACCTCAGTGGTAGCATTCTCTGAAATTATTCTAGTTCCACGCTCAAGGCCAGATAAGCAGGCAGAACTGCAGGGTCTCAATGTGGGGATGACATGATGGTATAGGGAGGAGTGGTTTCAATTTATTAGGAACTGGGGAAACTTTTGGGATGGGGGAACCTATACAGGAAGGATGGGCTCCACCTAAACCAAAATGGAACCAGATTGTTGACACTTAACATTAAAAAGGCCGTAGAGCAGTTTTTAAACTAAGGGCTGAGGGAAAGACAATGGGTGCGGAGGAACACATGGATCGGACAGAGGCATCTCATAGGGAAGAGTCTATTAATAGAGATTCACTATGTTCTAATAAGGAGGAGAGGATGGAAGGTGATAAAATATTGGTAAGATAGGATGAAAAACAGTCAAATGAAAAAGAGTGCCATTCAAACACATCAGGACATGGCAGGTAGTTAAATAGACACGTGTTTTTAAAGTGCTTATACACAAATGCTAGAAATCTAAAAAATAAGGTGAGTGAACTAGTGCTTCATATTTAAGGAGGATATTGATATAATAGGCATCACAGAAACTTGGACAGAGGCCACTCAATTGAAAACATTCATACAAGCAGGGCTCAACAATCTATGTAATCTACTCGCCCGTGGCGAGTAGATTACAGCCCGGAAGAACCGGGTTCGGGCGATGTGTACATGTGCAGAACGCCGGACAGCGCGGCTGGCGAGCAGGACTCACCACGGCTCAGCGAGCCCTGCACTAGGGTACAAAATATATCTGAAGGACAGAACAGGTCTTGCTGGCGCTCAAGTGGCACTACATGAGAGAGAAAATGTAGAATCAAATGAAGTAAAAATCTTAAATGAACCAAAATATTCCATAGAATCTCAATGGGTAGTAATTCCATGCTCCAGTAATAATAATATAGAAGTAAAGATACATTATTGGCCACCTGACCAGGATAGTGATAATGACTATGAAATGCCAAGGGAGATTAGAGAGGCTGTCAAAATAAAAAACTCAATAATCATGGGGGGGATTTCAGCTATCACCATATGGACTGGGTACATCTCAGGTCAGGACAGGATGCAGAGATAAAGTTCCTTGACACCTTAAATGACTGCTTCTTGGAGCAGCTGGTTCTGGAACCCATAGGAGGAAAGGCAATTTTTTTTTTTTTAGTCCTGAATGGAGCACAGAATTTGGTCCAACAGATAAATATAACTGGACTGTTTGGAAATGACCATAATGTAATAAAATGTAACATCCCTGTGGTGGGAAAAATGCCTCAGCAACGCAACACTGTGGCATTTAATTTCAGAAAGGGGAGCTACACAAAAATGAGGAGGTTAGTTAAACAGAAATTAAAAGATACAATGCCAAAAGTAAAATCCCTGCAAGCTGCGTTGAGACTTTTCAAAGACACCATAATAGAGTCCCAACTTAACTGTATACCCCAAATTAAAACAACACAGTAAGTGAACCAAAAAAGTGCCACCATGGCTTGGCTTAACCAAGTAAAAGAAGCAGTGAGAGATAAAAAGGTATTGTTTAAAAAGTGGAAGTTAAATCCTGGTGAGGAAAATAGAAAGGAGCATAAACTTTGTCAAATGGTAAAAATATAATAAGAAAAACCAAAAAGGAGTTTGAAGAGCAGCTAGCCAAAAATTAAAAAAGGAATAGCAAAATGTTTTTTAGTACATCAGAAGCAGGAAGCCTGCTAAACAACCAGTGGGGCCACTGGTCTCTCGAGACACTAAAGGAGCACTCAAAGACGATAAAGTCATTGCGGCGAAACTAAATGAATTCTTTGCTTTGGTCTTTACAGCTGAGGATGTTAGGGAGATTCCCAAACCTGAGCCATTGTTTTTAGGTGACAAATCTGAGGAATTGTCCCAGATTGAGGTGTCGTTAGAGGAGGTTTTGGAACAAATTGATAAACTTAACAGTAACAAGTCAGATGGCATTCACCCAAGAGTTCTGAAAGTACTCAAATGTGAAATTGCAGAAGTGTTAACTGTGGTTTGTAACCTCTCCTTTAAATCAGTTTCTGTACTTAATGACTGGAAGATGGCTAATGTGACACCAATATTTACAAAGTGCTCTAGAGGTGATTCTGGCAATTACAGATGGGCAAATCTGATGTCAGTACCGGGCAAATTAGTTGAAACTATAGTGAAGAATAGACTTGTCAGACACATGGATAAACATAATTTATTGGGGGAAAAGTCACCATAGATTCTGTAAAGGGAAATCATGCCTTACTAATCTACTAAAATTCTTCAAGGGGGGTCAACAAACATGTAGACAAGGGGGATGTAGTGGATTTAGTGTGTTTAGATTTCTAGAGAGCCTTTGACAAGGTCCCTCACCAAAGGCTCTTAAGTAAAGTAAGTTGTCATGGGATAAGAGGGAAGGTCCTTTCATGGATTGATAACTGGTTAAAAGACAGGAAATAACAAAGGGTAGGAATAAATGAGTGCCCAATGACTCAATTTCAGCTTAGTATAACCACCGTGGTTATAGTATGTTATATAAACAAGCAGAAAGCACAGTCATTTGTTTTGTGCTCATAGGCAATCCTCTGGGCTGTGGGACAGAGAAACACACACCAGTGACTCTTCTAGACTCCATTTGCATCTACAAGTGGTTTACTTGCAAGGTCTGTAGAGCACATTAGCAGATCACCTCAGCAAATATTTTTCCACAGAGCATGAATGGACAATTCAGAAGTCTGTTGTTCAGTTTATATACCATCAGTGGGGATAACCAGCAGAACATTTGTTTACAGCAAACAGGAATACATTTTTGTTCCAAAGGATATCAGAATCCAGACTCTCTGATATCTTTCTAATGTTATGGTCACAGATGTAACTATATGTTTACCAGCAGTTCTTTTGCTTATGAGGGCATTGAAGAAAATCAAACTGGGCAAGGCAGTAATTATTTTAGTAGTTCCTATGTGGCTCATGCTGTATTGATTCCCAGAACCACTTTGCTTCTCCACTTACCCTCTGATGTGATTACTTCTGCTGTTGGGCTTCTTGATTCAGAAAATGGGAATCATCAATAATCTTCTTGATTGAGATCATGGGAATCTTCATTATTCCTGACTCAGTCTTCCTCAGCCTAGCCATGTGACTTTTGGATGGATGTCAGAACTAGAAAAGCTATATTTTTCAGAGGAACAAATTATTTTTATCAACAGTAGAGAAGAGCCTTCAAGAAATGGGTACAGAACAAAAATTGGTAGATTTGTGGATTAGATTGACCAGTTTGAAGTTATGCTTCTACAGTCCCAAATGCATTGTATTTTGGTCTGTGCTATATTTTTTTTCCAAAGACCTTGAAGGTCTTGCTAGGTTCTCTTAGGGTATGTTTGAAGGCCATTTCACTCCCCTGTAGATCACTGTTCTTCTTTGAGTTTTGTTGTTCGTATGTGTATTCTGCCATCAGCCTTTCTTCCCCTGTGTTTTGGACTCTTCCTATACTCTTTGGGATGTGTGGTAAAGGGCATGAGATGGCAATTGGTCACATGCTTCTCCAAGTATGGGTTGGAGGACAGGATGTATGCATGAACCAAACAAACACTGCTAGCAGAAATCTCTGGCTCATGCACACCTAGAATGGAATCTTTGTAGGACAAAACATCTTGAACTCTAGTTACTGTATAAGTAAGTAACTGTTTTTTATGTTTGTGTTAGCATGTAGACTTGTACGCCTATTGGATTAATTCATGAGGATTGTTTTTGTGTGGGAAGGTAATCCTTCTGACAAACTATGCAATATTTTATCAGTTGGTGTTACTTTAATCATATGATTTCTCAACCCCCCTCCCCCCATACACACACAATGACTTTTTTTTTTAAGTATTGTTGGGCACTACTTTGATTTTGCAGTATAAAGACTGAATAATTAGGGATATTTTTCTCTGATAGATTTGGACAACAGCTGAGGAAAGACTTTTTTTAACCTGTTGTAGTTTTTGTTTTTTCCTCTAGTTTTCTCCATTGTGCAGTGGATCAAAGAGATATCTGTCTTCAACTGGAGCAGATGGAACAATATGTTTTTGGCTGTGGGATGCTGGGACCCTTAAAATAAAGTTAGTTGTATTTTACATATTCTTAATCATATGTCATGGAAGAAACAGTGGTTGATGTTGGAGAAATTTTAATTAGGAATTACTGTCAGCAAATTGAAAAAAAAGTAACTCATTTGTTAACTTTCTTTATGGTAAAAATGGAGTTTTTCTGGCACAAGTAGAACCTCTCTAGTCCACCCTCCCCCCCCCCTTAGAACCGGAGTGGAGCTGAACCAGTGAATTTGCTGAACCATGGGAGATCAGTATTGTTTAGCAGCATCACCGCACTTCCACTGCTTACTGGACTCTTAGAAGATATTTATGGGTGTATTCGAGCTAAATAACAGCACAGAACACTGAGAGCCTGGACTGGTGGCTGTATATAAACTTTATAAGACTCTGGGAAACTTGGCCCCACCTGTGATAAATTGACATCCAGCTAACTAAAATCATGCTGGACCATGGACTAGAGAAGTTCAACCTGTATAAAGTTATGAATGATCTGTTTAAGGGTTAGGTTAGTACAGTTTTAAAGGGTGAAACAAATAAATTTAGCATCCAGCCTCACTATATTCAATTTAATACATTTTCTGTTCAGGTACACTTTCTGTGGTCTGGCCCACAAGCTTGATTTTTTTGACTGATTGATTGGTAGATGTGTATCTGGCTCTGAATTCAAATTGATATGGGAGTAGTGCTAAAGAAAACAGTAGAGCTGGAAGTTTCGTAATTCCAGGTGTTGGATGGGAGAAGGTATCCTCCAGTTAAAGCTTTTGAAATATCTTAGTGTTTTAATACTAAAATAAAGACACTTTATTTTATTCCACGAGGAGTAACGGTAGTTCAAATTAGAGATCCTAATTCAAACTACCTACTCCGTGCCGCGTGTGGCCGTGGGCACAGAGTTCGGACTAAGGGACTTTTAAAAATGGCGGCACCTGGGAGGATGCAAATGAAGCCCAGGATATTTAAATCCCGGGCTTCATTTGCAACTTCGAATGCCTATATTAGCCTCCCTAGTTCGAACTAGGGGGCTAGTGTAGGCATACCCTATCATAGTAAGTCAGGGAGACCAGTGCTGCCTTCTTAAAAGCCTGAGATACAATATGGTGGCTAAATGAGAATCTTAGCCATCTTTCTTTTAAGAAACAAGGCTTCTATCCCTTCTTACAGAGAGAGGGTCAAATCTGACCTGAGCATACACTAATGCAGTGGTCCCCAATGTGGTGCCCGTGGGCTCCATAGCGCGTGCTGGGGCATTTATGTGCCCGTCCTTCCCGTCCTCCCCCCCACATCCCCCCACCCCCGGTGCACGGCACATGGGCGGCCCCTGCCCCAGGCGCGTGGCACATGCACGGTGCTGGCCCAGGGCGCGTGGGCGGCCCCGCCCCTGGACGCCTGGCACGTGAGCGGCCCCACCCCCGGATGCCTGGCATGTGAGCGGCCGCACCCCTGAACTCCTGGCAGCCACGAAAGGTTGGGGACCAGTGGTCCCCAACGCGGTGCCCTAATGTCTCTGCACTAATGTCTCAAAATCAGAAGGCAAATAAAAAACTAGGGGAAAGTGAGCAGAGAGAGAAAAAGAGAAAAGTGTGTTTTTGTGTGTATATTGGCAGGGGGAGGGTTAAATTTTCCATGATCTTTGTACAATTGAAATTGTCAAAGATGAGACGAAAATAAAATGGAGGAAGAGTTAGCTGCAAGAGAATTAGAAATTATATGGAAGGAATGCTTAATTCTGTGGTATTTTAGGATGTCAGATCTAACCACCACAGGAGCAGTCCACAAAACACTGATTGAAATGAATGAAGCAGCTCACAGATCTGAGTTATTTTTTCTGGCTGTATACAGACTCAAGCAAACTTCTCTACATGAGTTTACATTTGTGCATGGTTTCCAGTATTATTTCCTTGACTACAAGGTCTAGAAATATTTTTCCCTCTCAAACCTGAGATTTTCAAGCTCTGTTTCGAAGTACACTCTGCAGTGACAGAATTGTGAAATATTCTGCATGTGTATTAATGGGTGCTAATAACGAACCAGTCTTTTGAGGGGATGGACATGTGGGAATACAGAGGTAGAGGATCAGGGAGACAGAGTGGGATAGTTTGTTGAATGTAGAAAGTCAGTGGGAAGAGGGCACACTGAGACTACTTTGGATAGGGATCTTTGACCAATTCTTGTTCATTCACAACTCTAGTACATATCTGGGAACAAGTATTGAACAAGTATTGAAGGGAATAGCTGTTCTTCTTTGAGTGATAGCTCATGTGCATTCCAGTATGTATATGTGCTTTAGTTCCTTCTTTCTGCCAGTGATAGTTCTTGGAGTTCTGGACTTCAGACTTCTTGCTTAGCAAGTCATTCTTTCCTCGTGCGTAGTTAGTTGTGTAGATAGACTTGTTGTTTAGGTAGCGAGTATCTCTGGCGGGCTTTCTGTCCCTGCTATCTGTGAAACCTGTGGGGCACGCATTGTCCCCACAGGTTTAAACAATTTGCTAAGTGAAGGAAGCATATACTTGCAGATGGGACCCCTCCCCCCCACCTGTTTGCAGTGTTTTGAAGAATGCCATCTTCAAGACAAGTGTAGCATCTGCAGGGGTTTCAAGCCCTATACTAAATGTAAGTGTGACCAAAGACTTATGTTGCTCCTAATGGAGTCCGTGCTTTGGCCTCATAACACAGATTCCACTTCCTTGGTATGTAGTGTACTGGTCTTGATG